TCGGAATAAAATCGGAATTTTTCCCGTTATCGTGATAAAAATTTGTGATTTGATATCGGAATAATTCCGGGTCTCTAAATGGACATTCGTTATATCACGTGGTGATAAAATCAAATATCGATCTTTTTTATATTGTGTAACGTTCGATTTCAATTGATTTAAAGTAATAAAAAAAGATCGATAATATTTCAAAAACTAATCTATCGATACGCAGTTTTTTTGCATTGATATATCGTTCGTTCCTTTCTTTACATTTGGGTAAAAAAAGATCTGGAGATTTCTGCTCTTAAGAAAGTTAGATGAGAGCCGAAATTTTAAGGTTAAAATTATACATATTACAATATATTTTATTTAATAACTTTTACCAAGTTTAAAATATTTTTTCTATTATTGCTGCTTCTTCATTATCTAATATTTCATCATCTAATAAACTATTCACGCGTGCGGACAACAGGGTATCGCCACAAAACTAGATCATAAATCTTCAATTATTATAAAGTTTATTATTAGTTAATTTTCTTAAAATTTTAAAGCAGAAATCAGAATTCAATAACTTATTTACTTAATTTTAAAATAAATAATTTATCTATTTTCAAAGTATTTAAGATAGAATTATCTAAACCGGATAATTATCACGGGTAATCGCCGATAACTATTAGCAATGCATTGATTGGTGGATTTTGCCACGAAGTGGCAAAATATCCATCTTTGCTTACCGTGAACTGTGAAGTAATGATTTTAATAATTTAAAGATTTTAATGATTTGAAAAAATATATGTCAGATTTTTATTAAAAGTATTAAAATGTGTAAGAAATATTTGAAAAAAGTTTTTTTTTTGCTATTTTCTCATAAATATTATAAACGTGCTAATTAAACAAATATCTTTGATTATTTTAATATAATAAATTTGTATTACCTAATCGTAGTTATTGGGAATTTAGCAAATTTTGGCTATTTTAAAATTTTGACCGACATAAAAATATATAAAATCACAAAAGCGCAATAAATTGAACGTACCGGAAGTTGGAGGCAAAAAATGTTCAATTATGCTCTTTCATGATATTTGGCCATTTGACCTTGGCTAATGACCTTTAATCGTGGCCAAAAATACTGTGGCAAATGATGTGACGGCTAAATGCCCATTGTTATTAGCGAATTTATTGTCACACTATAAAATTTCGAAAAACCATTTACCACAGTATTACGACCAAGTTTTTCATCTCACGTCATTATATAACTTAACCGAAATTAACCTTGTGACAAATACGGTAAATACGGTGACGAATAGGATTTTTCATTCCGAAAAAAATTCTGTCCCCAGAATACATAGTAAAACGCAAACGTGAATCTAGGTGACATATTACTTGAGGGTGAGAAAGATGGAAAAATCACACGGAAAGACTTGTCAAAGTATGATTGGCTTTTTCGGCCGATCCTCTGCTTTTGGATTTTTCATCTATTGTTCTAAGCCCATTCATAAAAATATTATTATTTATACTCTCGTTCAACCCTACGATCAAATAATTCATTGAACTTTAAAAAAAAAAAAATAATGTCAGATACCGAACTTCCAATACTGTTAGAAGAAATATGTCAGGTATGAACTTCATTAAAATTCTTAAAAAGGCAGAAAATAATTCATACAAATTTTAATGATATTATGAAATAATCAAAACCGTTGTTTGTGGTTATTGCTGTTGTTATTTCCAATGTTTTTATGATGTACTGGTTATTTTCAGAATATTCTAAGGGTATTTAATAAATTTTTGTATTTATGAAACCCATAATAGCTCCAAGAACTTGGTGTAAGTTCAACTAGTATTGGCTTTAACTGGCTGACCATGGAATCAGACCGTTTTATCTGTGTGCGTGAAACTACTGGGCCAGCAAACCAAGTCGTGATAATCGATCTCCTCGACACTTCAAATGTACTTAAAAGACCAATCACTGCCGACAATGCAATAATGCACCCTACAAGTAAAATTCTCGCGTTGAAAGGTTAGTGAACGAACTTCGCAAAGTTTATATATGAACCGGTTACTTTAAATTTTATTAATGCTGCGCCATATCTAATTTCAATTAGCCGGAAGACAATTGCAAATATTCAATCTTGATTTGAAATCTAAAGTCAAATCTTTTGTTATGCAAGAGGATGTAGTATTTTGGAAATGGATTAATCTCAAGACACTTGGGCTTGTCACAGGGCAATCAGTATATCATTGGTCAATGGAAGGCGATTCGCCTCCGGTTAAGGTGTTTGACAGACACGCAAGCCTTGCAAATTCTCAAATTATTAATTATCGTGTTAATGCAGATGAAATGTGGATGGTTTTAGTAGGAATATCGGCTGTGGTTTGTATAACATTCGCCTAATTATTTTTTGTTGCTACTTATGAAATTTATTTAATTGACGTATAAAATTAATCAAAAGGAGGGCAGAGTGGTGGGGAACATGCAATTATATTCTAAGGAACGTGCAATTAGTCAACCAATTGAAGGACACGCTGCAGCGTTTGCGACGATCTTACTGGAAAATGGAGTTTCACCCACAAGTTTATTCACCTTTGCCGTACGAAATCAAAATGGGGCAAAAGTAAGACAATATTGTTTTACCATTTTTGTTCTATTAAATTAATACTTATTAAAAAATTTGATTCAAATTATTTAATAGTTACATATTGTTGAGGTCAATCATAAAAGCGAAAATCCACCATTTACAAAGAAGACAGTTGATGTTTTTTTTCCATCAGAGGCTGCAGGAGACTTCCCTGTCTCTATGCAAGTTAGCAAAAAATATAGCATAATCTTTTTTGTAACGAAATTCGGATATATTCATCTCTATGATTTGGAGACCGGAATTTGTATATATATGAACAGGATTAGTGGTGAAACAATTTTTGTGACTGCAGAACGTGATAATGCTAGTGGAATAGTTGGAGTTAACCGAAAGGGACAGGTACTCATTATATTCTGAAGTCATTTTTCTTCATAATCTCAATTAACTTTCAATATGTATATCTAATGTTTTAGGTGCTATCTGTTTGTGTTGATGAATCCAAAATAATTTCTTATATTATATCGACATTAAGTAATCCGGAATTAGCACTAAGGATCGCTTCCAGATGTAATTTGCCTGGTGCTGAAAAATTATATATGGATAAGTTTATGCAATTATTACAATCAGGGCAATACAATGAAGCTGCCAAGGTGGCAGCAAATTCTCCCCAAGTAAGGTTAATTCAGATTGTATAGCAAATTTCGGACAACTTCATTACTAATTTCTTCGTCATTCATTGTAGGGCTTCCTTCGTACTCCACAAACAATAGATCGCTTTAAAAACGTACCGGTGCTTCAAGGATCATTATCGCCTATTTTGCAATATTTTGGAATTCTCTTAGAAAAAGGAGAATTAAACAAGCACGAGTCTTTGGAACTTGCAAGACCTGTATTGGCTCAAGGTCGCAAACAATTATTGGAAAAATGGTTAAAAGAAGACAAGGTACGTATATATTCATTTTTTAGTTAAGTTACGGCACATTTCTTATTGTTATTTATTTAAATAATTTTTTAGTTGGAATGTAGTGAAGAGTTAGGTGACATAGTTTTCCAACAGGATGCGACATTGGCATTGTCGGTTTATCTTCGTGCCAATGTTCCAAATAAGGTCGGTAACAAGTAATCCTTTAATCTATTAGTTCCAGTCATATTTACATCTGCCTTTATATTATTAGGTAATTACTTGTTTTGCTGAGACAGGTCAATACCCCAAAATTGTACTTTATGCCAAAAAAGTAGGGTTTCATCCAGATTATCCTATGCTCCTTCAAAAAATTATGAGTAAAGATCCCGAAAAAGGAGCCGAATTTGCTACTTTGTTGGTTAGTGATGAGGATGGACTGGTTGATATTGAAAAAGCAAGTATCTTTTATATATATTGCATTATATTTTCCCATTGTTCAAGCTCTAATTGTTAAATTTAATTCAATCACAGATTGTTGATGTGTTCATGCAGAATAATAAAATTCAACAAGCTACTGCGTTCTTGTTGGATGCACTAAAGGAAAACAAACCGGAACATGGACATTTACAAACTAGGTTACTAGAAATGAATTTGTTAAATTTTCCACAAGTTGCTGATGCGATCCTTGGTAATGAAATATTCAGTCATTATGATAAACCACATATTGCATCTCTATGTGAGAAAGCTGGATTATTACAAAGAGTATGTTCTTCAAATTATTTTGTACCTATTAATGAGTTAGTTCTGTTAAATCATTAGCCTAATATCGCTTTATATTTGAAGGCGCTAGAACATTACACAGAAATAAATGACATAAAGCGTGTTATTGTACACACTGGATCCATGACCACTGAAGTAAGACTACTTTTAATTAATCATATTTATAGGTTGAGTTTATATATTCCAATGAAAACAACAAATTAATAATTCATTAAATATACTTTAGTTTGTTGTTAATTATTTCGGAAATTTGTCTGTCGATCAATCCCTCGAATGCCTAACGGAAATGCTTAAGAATAACAGGCAGAGTTTACAAGTTGTAGTTCAAATCGCAACAAAATATTCCGAGCAGTTACAGCCATTAAATTTAATTAATTTATTTGAGTCCTTTAAAACTTATGAAGGTAATTAAGATAATATAATTGTAAAATTTTTGAAAGTATAACGAAGCTCATAAAACGAATACTTTTATAGGGCTATACTATTACCTCGGGTCAATTGTCAATATTAGTACGGATCCTGATGTGCACTTCAAATATATTCAGGCTGCTGTAAGGACTGGTCAAACCAAAGAGGTTGAAAGGATTTGCCGGGAAAGCAATTATTACGATCCGGAAAAAGTCAAAAACCTTTTAAAAGTACGAATAAATTTTCGATAATTACTTCTTTTGGAAATAATCTATATATTAATATAATTTTGAATATAATAGGAAGCTAAGCTCGCAGACCAGCTTCCCTTGATTATTGTTTGCGATCGATATGACTTTGTTCATGATTTGGTACTTTATCTTTACCAACAAAACTTGTTAAAATATATTGAAGTATATGTTCAGAAAGTCAATTCAGCTCGTACACCTGCTGTTATTGGTGGTCTATTAGATGTTGACTGTGATGAAATGATGATAAAAAATCTTCTTATGTCTGTTACCGGCCCAGTCCCAGTTGATCAATTGGTTGAAGAAGTTGAAAAGCGCAACCGACTCAAATTAATTTTACCGTGGTTGGAATTACGTGTACAAGATGGTAGTCAGGATCCAGCTATCTATAATGCAATGGCCAAGATATATATTGACAGCAATAATAATCCCGAAAGTTTCCTCAAAGAGAATGCTGTATGTAATTTAATAGTCTTATAGATAATATTATACTATACTATTTGTTGATTTATTTATTTTGTTTATAGCATTACGATTCTCTCACTATTGGCAAATATTGCGAAAAACGAGACCCTTACCTAGCTTTTATATCATATGAGCGTGGTCAATGTGATTTAGAGCTTGTTAAAATTACCAATGAGAACGCCATGTTCAAGCATCAAGCTCGATATTTGGTTAAACGACGTGATCCTCAATTATGGGCTCATGTTTTGGATGAGAATAATATGTTTCGCAGGTCTTTAATTGACCAGGTAAATATTCATTTTCGTCTTATTTTTTATACCTAATTATGATTTATTGATTCTTTTTTTTTTTTAAAAAAAAAATCTAGATTAATGCTGTAGCCTTACCTGAGTCGCATGATCCGGAAGATGTTTCTATTACCGTCAAAGCATTCATGTCTGCCGATTTACCAATTGAATTGATCGAACTCTTAGAGAAATTGATATTGGAGAATACGGCTTTCAGTGATAATAAAGCTCTCCAAAATTTGCTTATTCTCACAGCAATCAAGGTAAATCTTCTTTATTTGCAATCAATCTTTACCTTAATATTAAAGTAAATGTTCTATACTTTTATTTTCATAGGCTGATAAAGCTAAAGTGATGGATTATATAAATAAACTTAATAACTTTGATGCTCCCGAAGTTGCTGAACTTGCTATTAAAAACAATTTATTTGAGGAAGCGTTCACAATTTTCAAGAAGCATGATGATAATACAAACGCCATGAATGTATTAATCGAACACATTGGAAGAATTGACCGAGCCGCTGATTACGCAAATAATTGTGATCAACCTGAAGTATGGAGTCGTTTAGCGAAAGCACAAATTGAAGGTCTAAGGATTAAAGATTCAATAGGTATGGTATGATTGTCAATGCAAATACCTTTTATTTTACTTTTTTTTTTGAGCCTTACACGTTAATAATTTCAATTCGTTAGATTCTTATATCCGTGCCGATGATCCTACCAATTTTCTTGAAGTAATTGATATCACATCACGCGCTGGAAAATATGAAGATCTTGTTCGATATTTGCAAATGTGTCGCAAGAAACTTCGTGAACCACAAGTTGATAGCGAATTATTATTCGCTTACGCGAAGACCGAACGATTCCATGATATTGAAGAATTTCTTAATTCAACTAATGTAGCTCAAATACAAACAGTTGGAGACAAGTGCTATGACGAAGGTTTATATGAAGCGGCCAAGATATTGTTTTCAAGTGTCTCCAATTGGGCAAGATTGGCCTCCACACTTGTTCATTTAGGAGAATATCAAGCTGCTGTCGATGGTGCAAGAAAAGCCAGTAGTACAAAGTGATTAATTTATATATATATATATATATATTCTGCTAAATAATTAAGTATTATTCTAATCATAATTTATTTTATTAAAAAGAGTTTGGAAAGATGTACACAATGCCTGTGTACAACACAAGGAATTTCGCTTAGCTTATATATGTGGTCTCAATCTTGTTGTTCATGCTGATGAATTACAGGTTTATTTTATTTTTATATAATTTTTATCATGAATTGTTTTTCTCAAAATAGCCGTATTCATTCATTCATCTATTTATAGGAAGTTATTCGTCAATACGAATATAATGGTTACATAAATGAACTCCTATCACTTCTTGAAGCTGGTCTTGGCATTGAAAGGGCACACATGGGAATGTTCACCGAATTGGCAATTCTATACACAAAATATAAACCAGAAAAGACATACGAACATTTACGTTTATTCTGGTCGCGTCTTAACATTCCAAAAGTCATTAGAGCTTGTGATGACGCGCACTTATGGAAAGAAATGGTTTTTCTATATGAAAACTATGACGAATTTGATAACGCTGCTCTTTCAATAATTACTCATGCTGCTGACGCATGGGAACACTCACGTTTCAAGGATATTGTTGTTAAAGTTAGCAACCTTGAAATATATTACAAGGTATTGTTTATATAATTGAGTATTATCGTTCAATACTTTTGTGCTTACAATATATATATTATTTTTTTTATTTCATTTTACAGTCACTGAAATTTTATTTGGATGAGCATCCTCTCTTGTTAAATGATTTATTAGTGGTTCTTACTCCTAGAATAGATCATACCAGGGTGGTTCAAATGTTCAAGAAATCCGACAACTTACCATTAATTAAATCATATTTGATATCAGTACAGGAGGTAAATGCGACTTGATAATTTTCTTATCTTTTTTTTTTTTTTTTTTTAAAAAAAATAAAGCATTTAAATAGATAAAACTGTAATTAAATTATAGACAAATAATGAAGCGGTCAATAATGCATATAATGATATATTAATCGAAGAAGAAGATTATAAATCTCTACGAGATTCAATTGATAACTTCGATAGATTCGATAATATCGATCTAGCTCAAAGACTTGAAAAGCACGAGCTTTTAGAATTCCGTCGTATTGCAGCTCATCTTTACAAGAAGAATAAACGATGGGCACAGTCTATTGCTTTGTCTAAAGAGGATCGACTTTTCAAAGATGCTATTGAAACAGCCAGCGAGTCACGCTCTACTGAAGTAGCGGAGGAACTTTTGGAATACTTTGTACAGATTGGAAATAAAGAATGCTTCACAGCATGTTTGTACACATGTTATGATTTAGCTAGAGCAGACGTTGTATTGGAAATGTCTTGGAGACATGGTCTTACCGATTTTGCCATGCCATATTTGATCCAAGTTATGCGCGAATTCAATAACAAGGTTCGTTTCAACTGTACATATAAATTCATTTTTAAAAGATTACAGATGGTAGCTTAATTCTTTTTGACACTAGATTGAATTTTTGGAGAAAGCTAATGCTGAAAGAACATCAAAAGAACAGGAACGAGAAAAAAATGAAAGCGGTATTGTATTATTTTAAATTTATATTACATAGTATATATAGTTTACTAATTTAATCTTTGTTATATCAACAGAAATACAAATGGTAAATCCAGCCGGATTAGGAAACCAACTTTTAATTACACAAGGACCAGGCCAAGGGTGAGTTAAATTTTTTTTTTTAAAAAAAAACTTTGTATAGGAAACAAACTTAACAATATTACCAACTCTATTGTTAATTAGCATGGTACCTCAAGGGTATGGTAATGCTTATGGTGGTATGTCCGGTTTTCAAGGTGGTTTTTAAATCATGAATTAATTTTCTAGTTAGAGTGTTAAATGGTGATGTATATATATATAATGCTTTATTAATACTCTGGTATCATTACTGGATTTTTTAATATGTATAACAAAAAAATTTGAAAAATAATATTACGGTTTGGCTAAATTAAAAAAAAAAAATTAATACACTAATCGCAAATATAAAGCAGACGTACTAGGTTATATTAAAATTTTTATTAATTCCTAAAATATTATTGTCACGTGATAAATTTAAATTTAAATATATAAAAAGATCCCCTATCATTGTTATAAACTAAAAAATTCTCTCTGCAATATGGCCCACGTTTCTACACCTCATCCAAATGATTATATAAAATCGGACCATCATATGTTTTTCTCTTTTCATCCAGACAGTTCTTCATTTTTATCTGGATATTTAGGTGTAAATACAGCAAAGATATCCGGTACATTATTAATTAGATTTCCGCAAGAAATAGAAGCTAGAGAAATAATATTGCATTTTATTGGTAGAGAAAAGGTCGAATGGAAAGATGAATACATTATAGTTAATAAACAAGAAAAATTATGGACAACTTCAAATCCTATAGGACACGAATTAATAGGAGATTTCACTTTACCATTTGAATTTCAAGTTCCGTCGGATGCTGTAGAAAGTTTTGAATCACATTACGGAAGTGTTCGATACACATTGAAAGCGGTGATTATTAGAAAAGAAAAGAAAAAAAAAAATTCTGCTGAAGTTATTGTACCAATTTGGAGATGGTCTCAACCACCAGATGAAGAATTAAGACCTTTAGTTATTAAATCAAAATTTATTCAACAAAGAAAGCATCAAATTGAATGGGAAGCAGAATTGCCACAAACATTTTTTGATATTAACTCGAAAAAATTTAAGGTTAAATTAAAAATGATTTGTCATCGTCCAGACTTAAGAATAAGAAAAATTATTTCATATCTAAAAGGAATTATTAGAGATAAAGCAGATAATTTATCTTCCGAAAAAAAACAGTATTGGTACAAAGGTGAAATGAGTGGTAAAGATATTATAATGGTTCCAAATGGAACCGATACTATATTTGAAGCAATGGTAGCAATTGATATACCTTCTAATATTCTTCCAACTTGTCAAACCATGTATATGAAAATTATTAATGAAATGCAAATCAAAGTAATTTTTGAAAGATCTAATACTTTTGTTTTAATTACAAAAGAAATTTTAGTAGGAAGGAATATAAATAGGGAGTTATCTGATTAAGTAATTACATTTAATAATCTTTGTAATTATTTTATTATTAACTTGTAATGTTTAGATTTATTTTTTTTAATTTTAATACTTATTTTTATAATTTACATATTTAATAATAATTAATTTTTTAATATAATTATAAAATAAAGAATATTATAATTTATACATCATAAATATTATACATTAAAATTGATAATAAAATTGATTTTTTTTGTATTGTTAAAATAATATATATCATAATATTTATTTTTTATATTTTATATTTATATGTATTTAATTTTATATAAATATAACTTTTTTTTACCTAAAAATTACAAAAATTTTAATTTCAATTAATTTAAATATTTATATAAAATATTAATATATTATAATCTAATATTTTAATTAAAATAAATGATTAATTAACTTATATTATTATATTACTTATAATTAATAATAGTTAATTATAATAATTTTATCTATTATTTTTTATTTTTTTATTTTTTTTTTTTATATAATTATTCTTTCTTATAATTATTTTAAAAATGATATAAAGAATAATTATCTCTTTAATGATAAGTTTTTATTAATTTAATTTTATATATAATTTATCTTAAAATTATAAAAATATATAATATATATTTTATCTTATTCTATATTATTTACTAAGGAAACAGAAACTGTTGTTAAGTCTAAAATAATCTTAACAAAAAAAATTTCATACAGATATTTACTTTATTTAAGATTTTATGCAATTACAAAACTAATTAGCATTAATTTAATTATTGAGTAAGCAGATATTAAGACTTTTTTCATTGTATATAGTCTTATACTTCATTCTAGACTAATAAAAATTTATTAAAATTTTAAATATTAAATTTAACTTTAGATATAATATAAATATATAATATAGTATTATCATTATTTCAATGTATAAAATTTACGTGCATAATGTGCATAATGTACACATGTACATATTAAATTTTCTAATATCTACTTTGATAATACACAACTTCTCATTTTTTTGCCTTAACGAAGTTTTACTTTTACTAGTAATAGACTTCATCTTCTGATGATCCTTTTTCTTAATATAATTTTTAACTGCCTTATTTAATAAATCTTTTACCTATTCTAGCGATAACAGATATTTTTAAGACGTAAGTCATTACTATATATCTATTTTGATGAATTGAGAAAGTTGGTTAAATTGCTTCGAGTAATATACGTAAAAAAATAGTATAAATATATTATTAGTCATTTATATAAATAATAAAAATTCTAAAAATTTAAAAATTCTGAACATTTAGTTAATATTGCGAGAAATTTGCTAGAAAACTCTAATTAAAAATGCACATAATACCTGACTAATAATCAACAAGAAAAAATCATTTTGATAATGATATTCTGGCTAAAATTTCATCAAATTAATACACGATCATATCTTTCATGATACAGATAATAAATTTTTAACTATTTTGTTTTGTAATAGCTTATCTTTCAATTTACAACTCTAGCCTTAAGCTTAATATTTTTAGTCTTAATTTTATTGTTTTTCAGCCTCAAACTCAAAAATGTGTTATTTTAATAGATCAGTTTACTAGAACTATCTAATTCAGATTGTATGCTTGCATAATGTAATATTAGTATGTTAATATTTAAAAATAGAAAATTATGTGATTTTGGAAAAATTTAGTTCGCTAAAATTTACCAAAAAACATTTTATTAATACTAACGTGAAAATAAAATACATAAAAATATATATATTAAATCTTTATTCTATAAATTTTTTGGAATAGAACCTATTACTACCATTTCACTAAAACTATGCTCACTATTCTCAGAATCAGAACTATATAATATTTTGTAAATTGTATATGTGACAGCTATTTTCAATGTTATCAACGTATATATAAGCAGGTATACAATACTACTAGGTCATAATATATATATATTATGATCTAGTTACGTTAAATTATTATCTAGTTATGAGTATATTGTTACCTAGTTATTGTTTTTAATGTTCTGTGCCCTTTTTATTGCTTTATTACTATCCATTTGATTTTATTACTCTGTAGCCTTTTTATTACTTTATAGATATTTGCTTGATTTTATTACTCTGTCCTCTTTTTATTTCCTTCTAGCTATTCGCTTGTTTTCATTGTTCTGTGGCCTTTTTGTGACCAAGATGCTTGGTCGACCTTGATTGCTAAAATCATGTTGCAGTCAGGTGGCACAGTCAAATCACATAATTTTATTTTAATTAATTTCAGCCCAAAATTATGGAATATAATACTAGTCGAATTAATGTAATTTACTACGCTAAAAAAAAATCATGTGCGTGATGCACTCCTAGAACCTTTCCATCACTTCCCTGTCACTTTCTTACTACTTTTGAAGTTCTAACTGGAGGATCTGATGGTTAGAGAATTGGAAGTACTAAGATCAGCTTATGTAATTGCTAAGAATTAGTGTTAAACTTGCTTATAATTCTACTTTCATTTGATTGTCGGGTTGAGGCATGAAGTGCTAAATTTGTAATTCATATATTTTCCTTCTCGATTGCCATCTCTTGATTACTGAATGAAGCACGAAGTGCTGAATTTGCAATCCATTTATTTGCTGAAAATGTGTCACAATTCATTCACTCACTTTTTAATTGCCAGTCAGGCACGAAGTGTCAAATTAGTTCAGGCTATATTGCTTTCATACCTTTTTTTATGCATCTTCCTGAACCTTTTTGCCTTCCTGATCTCTTTCCTGCCTATCAATAATAGTATTCAAAAGCATAATTTCTTATTTTATTTCTATATAATTTTACCTTTGAATACTACCAAATCTATACTTTTGTTTTCGCCTGAGCCTTCCTAGAATTCTTTCTCATATAATTGCTATTTTAGGGTATTCCTGTGTATGATTACTGCAAGTCAGGCATATGCAAAGTGCTAAATTAGTTCAGGCTATATTGCTTTTTTTTCGTGTATTTTCCTGAACCTTTCTACCTTTCCAATCTCTTTCCTGCCTATCAACAGTAGGCAATTGAGTATAATTTTTTTTCTTTTTCTTATATAATTCTGCTTAAGTGGCCTACCAAATTTATATCTTATTTTTTGCTCCTGCCTTTCTAGAACCCTTTTCCATAGAGTTACTATTCCGGGATACTTTAGGATACTATCACATCAATCACTTTAGAATACTATCACATCAATTACTTTAGGGTACTATTACATCGTTTACTTTCTTTCAGCTTGGCGTTGAGTACTACTACTAACCCAGTATTTTACTAGCAAGCATATTTGCTCAAAATTATATAAAATTTTTATTTGAACTTTGCAAGTTTCTCTGTTATTTTATACTAGTTTCTTGCATATACATCATGCTTTTTGTGCAAAAAAATGCTAGGCCTCACCCTAAAATAATTAATGATGCAACCAGGCTCTTCTCTGGTTTAGCGAACCTTAACTATGAACCTGGCTATAATAATCATATATATTTCAAATATTTATCTAATAATAAAAATGATATCTCTCTTCTAGGTGCCTATCATCCTGAAGAGATTTTTGATAAATATATAGTCTGAGTATCAGGAAAGGGTTTTATAGTAGTTAATCATCTATTTGAAGTTTGTGGGTTACCTAATACCCATGAGTGTATTGATAAAAATTTGCCTCTTCGCCTGATTTTGAATATTGATGCAAAACAAAAGCCAGATCTAATGAACCCTGAACTCCTTTCCTTAAATGGATATAAAATTTCTCATGAAGATTTATTGTACAGAATTT